GTAATAATGTGAATTCGCAGAGGATATCTGATCAAGAACATGAATGGTGTTGAGTATGATGAAATTGAAGTTTATATGCACATGCATGCATAGAATTGCCATGAAAATGTATAATCTAGCATGTATTGAGTTAAACATGGAAATAAAGGTGTTAAATCTTACATGCAAGCATGTTTTTGTTGAGCTCCATGAGAATGAGCACCATTTGCATTATTTGGAATGAAAATGAAGTCAAGATTAGCATGCATGTTGAACAATTAAAGATAGGAGCTTTGGAATGCATGAATGTGTATGATAGAATTGAGCTTGAATTAAATTAAGCCATGCATGTATTTGATTTATGAAATTGGGCTCCATGAAGATGTATTTTGGTGTTTATACCATGTTAGTACAAGTATATGTGAAATTGGAGCCACCAAAAGCATGAAATGACGGTTTGAATGTTGAAGGGAGCTCAAGAACACAATCTGGAAAACCCAGAATTTTGATGTCCGCTCGAGCGGGGAACCTGACGCTCGAGCGGAGAAATCGAGCTCCCAGCACTTTCTGCAGACATGGTTCCCGCTCGAGCGGGGAAGTTGACGCTCGAGCGGGGAGCTATGTAGACAGGCAGTCCGCTCGAGCGGCCGAGTTCACGCTCGAGCTGGAATTGAAGGCAACCAGTACTTTCGCAGACCTAAGGGTCCGCTCGAGCGGGGAAGTCCACGCTCGAGCGGTAATAAATACATCATTATCCCCATATTGAATCTCCAAGAGTGGTGTTGTTACATCTAGAGGGGGGTAGATAGATGTATCACCGTATATGATTGCTACTCGTCTTTTATGCTCAAATTTCACCTTTTGATGGACAGTCGAAGAAACTGCTATTAATTGGTGATGCCACAGTCTACCCAGTAGCATGTTGAATGTTGTAGGAACATTTGTAACATAAAACTCTGTTTCTTGTTCCAACGGTCCTATTTCTACCCCCAGCTTGACTGTTCCCATCACCGGTCTGCTTGTATTATTATGAACCCTTATAGCCTGAGAGGTTAGTTTTAAATCTGCAGGTCTAATCCCATAGCATATGTTGTCCTGGCTAGGCAAACATTCAAGGCTGATCTAGTATCAATTAACACCACCGGTACGCCTTCGTTTTGAGTTTTCAACGAGACATAGAGAGGCTTGTTATGATTGGCTCATTTGGTGGCAAATCCCTAGCAAAGAAAAAGACTACTGGAGCATCTCTACAAGTAATAGTTATTAATGATACTAGTTGGTATTTGAATTTCGTATAGTTATATTTCTGTTAAATAGAAATATGAATTGGGCCTAAGGCCGTTTGGAACATGTTGTTCTACATTGTTATGTAACTCCTGTATTTGATTTGATATTATTCACTGGGCTTTCGCTCACGCTCATTCATGTGTTTGTAGGTGAGCCAAGAGAAGTCCAGACCCAGGCTCAGTGAAGTCTGTATGGAGCAACTAAGGTTTTGAGAGAGTCAGCCCTTGTGTCTCACGCACGAGACCCGTCTTCGCCCTTTTGTTATATATTTACATTTTGTCAGGTCGGCGAAGTTTTGAATACGTCTGTGTATAGTTTTCATGGGTTGACTTAGTTTGGATGATCCTGTCTGTATAGAATCTTATGTCATTACACTTTTTGTTGTGAGTTATTAACGTACATATGTATGGTTTGTTTTGATGTGCCATGTAAGCACAGCTCTATGGACAAAGTTTTAAATTTGGCTTCCCTTTGGTCCCCTTTACTCTGATGTATTAAGTCTGTTTTGGTTTGAGGCCGTAGGTGATCTTAGGATTACTGGCCGGTTACGTCCTTAACCCATGGGGGCGGGTTCGGGTCGTGACACATCCCTTGCCCCTCGAGGCCATTTAATTGCTTTGCTTAAGTTAATTAGTGGTAGCTAATTAATTAGAGTAATGGCTTTATACTTAATTAGCTTAGTATTTAGCTAATTACTTCGATTTGTAATGATTAGTTAACTAGAATAGTTAATTAGTTTCAATTATTGTAATAATTAATTAGCGTAGCTAGTTGGTTAGCTTATTAATTCGGACCCTCCTTCGTGAGGGCGTAATGTTGTAATAAGTGTGCGTGCGTGTGTGCATGTCTTCTAACCCCACATCTTTCTCCCTTTTATTTAATTGCTTTTGATGGTTAGATTAGGGTCATGTTTTAATTAGCATATCGCATGCTTTCATCCATTCATTCGTATTGCATGCACCGAGGCTCGGTGCATCAGTCAAATTGCATTGTTGTTTCAATATATTCTTTGAATACGTGTTTAATCGCATGTTGTTCAAGTTGAATCATATGCCATACTAGTAGCCGAACCTATTAATTGCATTATTGCATGTGTTGCATTAGGCATCTTACATAGTTAGGATCATGCATTTTTCTAACTAGTTTCTGTTTTGGCTTAGAGTACTGGGTAAGTCTTTATGCTTTAGCATACTTGCATGAGTGTGATTGCCATGATGCCATGTCCAACATGCTTGCCATGAGGCTATGTGCTTAAATGCTAAGCTGCATGAATGCCTGTGGATGAAGGCTTTTTGTTTGAATTAGAACAATTCAACGAATGTACGTTTTAAGCCCACTTTGTTGTGGCAAATCGTGTATTAAGCCCACTTTGTTTGGTGGCAAATTTGCATCTTTAAGCCACTTGAGGGTGGCAAATTCAAACAATTTTCGCAAACAAACATGAGTTGAATTGTTCCAAGTCTTGCGATTTAGTCTATACTTGCTTGTGCTCGTCACATAGTAATGTTAGCTAAATAATCAGAACAAGAACACATAATGTTTATAAAACATCATATCATGATTAGTAGAGGCTGATCTTTGATCGGGCGAGCAGGGGGTGCTTATTTCAGGACCTTCCCCTCTCGTACCTAAGTTGCCGAGCCGAGGCAACTTTGGCGATGATGGACACGTGGCTTTTGGCACGAGTCAGGGTTTCCTAAATTTCTCCAAAATAAAATATTTAGGTAGCGACTCTGTATCTAGCAAAGCAGTGCAATTTTGACATTATTTGATTTAAAATCGATTTTCCAAAAAGGTTTGCCGGATTTGGACTCTTTGGTTATCAGTTTCACATTGCACTTGTGAGACTAGATTAAGAACCGCGGGAGTCCGAACTGTGAGGCCTTCTTTTCACCCCTTTCCGAAAGGCGGGGTGTGAAAAAATGCGAGTCCACACAATTAAATTACAGAGACCATTTGCATAATTTACCTATTATATATATAATATATATACACTCCAATTTTGTGGTCAATAGTTTAGAGGGATAGAGATAATAAGCAAAATTATTGACATTAGAATAGGACTTTGTGCTTTTTATTTTCTTCATTTACAATGATAAGTTCTAAAATGCTCAATATTTTCATATTATTTTTTATTTTTGTATAAAAATAGTTTTTAAAATTCAAATACAATCGCTTGATATTTCCTAAAAAGTGGATTATCCAATTTGTCTTGCTAAAGGTTCACTTAAAAAAAATTAAAAAAACCACCCTCTACTTTTCTAAACTTTACCAATAACAAGAAAGCTAAACACCTATCGGTATGATGTTAGAACTATTAACAAGCTCGCTAGTCTTACAAGGGGAAAAAAAAAAGATTGAAAATAGTGAATCAAGACCTAGATGGATCCCTATCTTTATCTCTATCCATGATTTTTTTTCTTCTTCTCAAAAACAGATTTAGACAACAATACATTAATCAAGTAATACAGCCCTTAACAGTATGCAATGGGTTCCAATGATAAAGGTTTTACAAGAAGAACTTTGAGAACTCTGAAAATCATTCTACAATTTCCTCAGCATAATTTTAGAACTCATGAAATGACAACAACATTCATGGTTACAATGGTTGAGTTTTTTACAAGAATAACTTCTAATCTTGAGAACTCTCAAAATTATTTTACAACTTCCTCTGAATAACTTTAGAACTTATGAAATGACAACATTCATGTTAAGGCAATCAGAGGTTACGAGAATTGTCTCCCGGCAAACACTGAAAGCCATATTTTGAAAGGGAAAAAAATAATATATATATATATATATATATAATAGGTCGCTACATATAACGAGTTTATTTGCACTCATAAGTATATACAGGAGAACATGACACTATCGATGCAAAGTCAAAGATACAAATTACAGTAAATCAACAAAATCAAAAAGAAAAAAAAAAGACTATACAGAACTTGTGAGACAAAAATTTGAACCAGGATAAATTTTCATTATTGTTGCAGCCACTCTTGAATTACAGAACGGAGAGCATGATTGGGCATGTGGTTGCAGTGTGGAAGCACGAGATTTGTCATGGGTGAAGTGTCATTGCCACCGTCGAGCCATCCTCTCTGTTAGAATGGTTGAAAGAAATATGAAAAATATGTATCTGTATTATATTGAATGAATTAAATACAATAGGAGAGTCTGTATTTATAGGCTGTCTACAAACCTAGATAAGCATAGAAGGAGATAGAGATGGAGAGAGATAGAGATACAAGGAAATAGAGATAGAGATAGAGATAGAGATATATAGAGGTAAACTATATCTACAATACAAGGAGATAAAATTAAATCTATAAATCTAAATCTAATATATACATTAACACCCCCCCTCAAACTCAAGGTGGGTAGGCATCAACCAACTTGAGTTTGGAAACTAGATCACTGAAACGACCAGGAGAATGAGCCTTGGTGAAGATGTCGGCTGTCTGATTGGCAGAGATAACAAAGATAAGACGAACAATGCCACTAGTAACGTGCTGGCGTATGAAGTGACAGTCAATCACAATATGCTTTGTGCGATCATGGAGAACATCATTATAGGCAATATGAATAACACTCTGACTATCACAATAGAGGTTAATCGTAGTAGAATGAGAAACACCCATATCAGAAAGAAGCCAGCGAAGCCACACAAGCTCTTGAGTAGTGTCAGCAAGAGCACAATACTCAGTCTCAGTACTAAAACGAGCAACAAGAGTTTATTTCTTGCTACACCAGGCAATGAGAAAGTCACCCAAGAAGAAATTGAATCTTGTAGTAGAACGACGATCAGTAGGGTCCCCTGCCCAATCAGCATCAGAAAATGCATGTAACTGTAGGGAAGAATGAGCGGAGTAGTGAAGACCATGAAACATAGTGCCTTTGAGATATCGTAAAATGTGAACTAGAGCATCATAATGCGGAGAGCGAGGAGCAGCCACGAATTGACTAACAATGTCAACAGCATAAGCAATGTCTGGATGAGTAACCGTGAGATAGACAAGACTGCCAACTAGTTGACGATACAAAGTAGAATCAAACAACAGGTGACCATCAAGAGGTGTGAGACGAGTCTGACGATCAACGGGAGTAGAGGCAGTCTTGCAATCAGTAAGACTAGCATGAGCCAAGAGATCAGAAGTATACTTGGCTTGGGAGAGAAAGTAACTAGACGGATCATGAGAGATTTCCAAGTTGAGAAAATAGCTGAGAAGACCCAAATCCTTCATCTCAAATTGGCGACTGAGAAACTGTTTGAGACTAGAGATACCCACTGTGTCATCGCCAGTGATGATCATATCATCCACATAGAGAAAAAGAAGAATAGTACCACACTCTGTCTTACGAATAAAAAGGGCAGAATCATAGGCACTAGAGGAGAATCCAAAATCATGAATGGTGGAGCTAAACTTGGCGAACCAGGCACGAGGAGCTTGTTTCAAACCATACAAAGCACGGCGAAGTTTATAGACTTTGGAGGGCGGTATAGAGGAACCAGGTGGAGGTTGCATATAAACTTCCTCAGTGAGATCGCCATTGAGAAATGCATTCTTCACATCCATCTGACAAAGTTTCCAGTGACGAGCAATAGCAACGGCAAGTAAGCTACCAATAGAAATTAGACAGGCAATAGGAGCAAAGGTTTCTTCATAGTCAATCCCACATTCTTGAGTAAACCCCTGTAGACACCCCAATTTTGACCGCTCATAAGACTTAGGTGCTTTATTCTGAACACCCGATGATGAAAGTTACACTGTGCAATCTTTTGAATTCTTAGCGAAGAAATTTGGATTCAAGCTCTAATCCTAAACCTTGCACTCCATTTTGGCCAAACGATTTTAAACCAAAACCCTCTTTCAAAATATTTGTCCAAATGCTTCTATGATGTTTCGAGGCTCGCATTTCATTTAAAATTGCACTTGTCGGTAAACCGAGCAAGGATAACGTGGAAATAAATGAAAGGGAGGTGAACTCTTTGAAAACAAAAAATTCTTTAAAACATCTTGGTTAAAGGTTTAGAGTTGAAGAAAATTGGAGGAAAGGAAAGAAAACTAGTTGGGTATAAAACCGTTAAGAGAAAACTGAGCAGCCTTCATTAAATCAGGCTTATCTCTTTCTACACTTAGACTTTAGCTGTGACTCTACCACCATTGGAAAGAGGACTTCCGGGGCTTCATTTTAGACTCAAGAATCTCCTAAAACCGAGTCAAGATGATGGAGATATGGCTATTTGAAGTTAGGCATAAATCTGATAAGGTCAAAACTAAGCAACCTTAACTAAAATAGGCATATCTCTTAGCACACTTATAATTTAGATGTGAGGCCACTCCATTGGAAAGAGGACTTTCGGGGCTTCATTTTAGACTCAAGAATCACCTGAAATGGAGTCCAGATGATGGAGATATGCCTGTTTGAAGTCAGTCCTGAAAGCAGATTCTGAAGTCCGATCAAACCTCACCGAGGTCATGCCATCCCTTTTGACTTTTCAAAGCTGTCTAAATGTGCTGATATTTTGAGGAGCAGCAGCTCAAGGCCTATAAATACAAGGATCAAAGTGATGTTTTATGGGAGGCAAAAAAACATTATCAAGAGTTAAGAAAACAATATCAAGTTAGAAATATCATATATCAAAGAGAAATATCAAGTTAGAAATATCAACAAAGAGAAATATCAAGGTGTTAGGCAATATCCAAGAGTTGGAAACCATCTTTGTTCTTCCTTGTTCTTCCATCCATCCATACCATACAAGAGCTTGAGCTTGGATCTTGATTTGAGAATTGAAAATCATACTCAAACTTGAGGGTGCTTTGGAATCAAGTTTGATTTACAACAAGAACACTTCTCTACAAGAGGTAAAGCTTCCTTACTTTCATTTCAATCTTTGTTCATCTTTTTCTTGTGTTTTCATATTATTTTGGTACTGTTTTGGGAATATTTTGAGGGCTGAAACTTGTGATTAAAAGTTACCCAAAGGTGGAGGGGTTAATCACCCTTCTTTGAACCTTATTCCAAGCTTGAATCCTTGTGCTTCCCACTTGTTTTCGCTAATTTTTCCCACTGTTTTGGGGCTGATTTGGGACTGTTTTGGGGCTATTTTTCAACATCTAAACTATGTGATTTGAAGTTGTAAAAGTGGAGGGGTTAACCACCCTTCCTTCTACTTGTTTACTAACTTGATCCTATTTAATTTTGCTCGTTTTCTATAGCTTAATTTCAGCACCGTTGTATGCTATTTAGGGGGCTGTTTAATTTATTTCAATGATTTATGTTTTAAATATCAAGTTTGTTTGTACTAACCAATTAATCAACTTCGCATAATCATCTCTGCAACCTCCCTCCATTCTTTGCGTATTTCGATTAAAAAATTGTGAAAAATTAAGATTGTGGTTCAAGTATAAGAAATGAACTCTTCCATGCTTAATGGTTTAATCTCTTCAGAGGTTCATTACCAAAGGTGTAAAACGCTCTATGCTTAATGGTTTAATCTCTTTGGAGATTCACTACCACAGGCATAAAACGTTTTATGCTTAGGAGGTTCACTACCAAAGGTATGAAACGCTTTATGCTTAATGGTTTAATCTCTTTGGAGATTCACTACCAAAGGCATAAAACATTTTATGCTTAGAAGGTTCATTACCAAAAGTATACAACGTGCTATGCTTACTGATTTAATCTCTTAGGAGATTTACTACCAAAGGCATAAAACGCTCTATACTTAACGGTTTAAATTCTTTGGAGGTTCACTACCCGAAATGTATACATGTTCTTATACTAAAGCACAATCTTTTATTTTTCATTTCTCTTTATTCATTAGTGTGTTTACTTTTAAAGGACTAATTGACCATTGGAAATCACCAAGGAAAGTGTCATTATCACTTATTATTAAGTTTGAATTTCAAGTCATTATCACTCGAGTTTGGGTTTTTCTAAGTCATTATCAATCTTTTGAGTTTGACTAGTCCTTGTTGCACATCTTGAGTTTGACTTGGAATCCCTTATCGCTTGTAAATAAGTTTGACTCTTCCTTTGTAATTTCCCCTGAAGAAAATAAGATTTGTTTCTCGGGTTAAGTTGATGCTTGTTTCTCTTTATTGCGTTTTGGACTTAGTGGACGTAAATATCACTTTTGCACAATCAGGAGAAAAGATAAAGAAATGGGAAGGTAATAAAAAAGGCTAATAAAATTGGTTAAAATTGGATTACAACTGACATAATGAACCAATATGATTAATTGAATTCGGTCAAATGTTATACCGAGTTTATTGTGTCAAGGCCCTTCTTACATCAATTCATGATAATTTGATGAACCTTGAAGTGTCTCTACTTTCCTTCTTGAATTCACTTCATGATAGGAGGGAGGGGTGGTTGTTTATTCATTGCATTTATTGATCATCGTCCAAATTGTATCCGAGATCATCAGGCAATCAACTTGCTAATTGATGGTTTTGGAGATGATTCCAACCCTCTCTTGAGTATTTTTATGATAGAGAAGGGTAAAAAAAAAAGAAGACAAACATGGCTAGGAATACCCTGTCTGCACTGTTTCACCTCAGGTACAAAAAACAGATTTCCACAAAAAAACAAAGTATTGGATTTATTTGGGCCTCGACTGAGTCACGTTTTGGGGTCGGCAAGGCTCCAATAAATTGCAAAATAATACACTTTTGGTCGAAAGCAATAACTAGGGGTGAAACAGAACAAATCCCAGCAACGCAGACATAATAATTCCTGAGGAGCATCGAGCAATCATTGCATATTATTATTGTAATAAATTAGACATTCCCTTTCATTTATTATTCATTCGGCTTTGTAATAATTATTTGTTCGGACACTTGGACATTCGGACCCTCCTTCGCGAGGACAAATATGTAATAAGTTGTATGTCTTCCAACCCCCATTCTTTCTCCCTTTTATTTCACTGCTTATGATGGTTAGATTAGGGACATCATGTTTAATTAACATTTTCCATGATTTGCATCCATTCGTTTACATGCATAAAAGTTCAGCTCATCATATTATTCAAATGTCAAATTCAAACTCCTTACTTGCATACATGCGCTATCACATGCCTTGAATTGACTCACATGCCATACTAATAGCCGAACCTTAATTACACATTGCATGTATTGCATTAGTCATTAAATTAGGATCATGCATTTTTTTCTAACTATTTGCTTTCTTTTTGGACTCGCCTTCGGACATTAAGGTAAGCATTTTTGCTTTAGCATATTGCATATGTGTGAATGCTGTCATATCAAACATACTACCATGAGGCTAACTGCTTATTTGATATACCTGTTTAAATGCCTATGGATGAAGGCTAATCACTTAAATTGGGATACTCTGATTCATGTATATATGAGATCACCATTTTAAGTGATACATATTCAAAACACTTTTTTTCAAAACAAACATGAAATCAAACATTTCAACTTTTCGTGAAATTAGTCTATACTTGTATGTTACATATAGAATAAGAGCATATACTGTACATAAAAACCATATCATGATTAGTAGAGACCGATCTTTGATCGGGTGAATGGGGTGTTCAATTATTGACCCTCTCCTTTCATACCTAAGTTCCCGAACCAAGACACTTTGGTAACGACGGACTAATAGCCTTTGGCACGAGTCATGGGTTTTCTAAATTTTTCAAAATAAATATTTAGGTGGTGACTCTGATATTTGGCAAAGCAGTCCATTTTTGGCATTTAATTCAAACATCGATTTTTCAAAAGAAATTGCCGGATTTGGACTCTTTTTGTGTTTTCACTGTTTCACATTGCACTTGTGAAATCAGAATCAGAACCAACACACAAGTGGAGTCCGAACTATAAAGTCTATTTATTCTTCCGAAAGAGAGCGCGAAAAGCTGAGCTACAACCCCCAGGTAACAAGACGCGCTTTGTAACGCTCAATAGAACCATCAGAATGAGTTTTGAGCTTGTAAACCCATTTGCAACTAACAACACTTTTGCCAGGAGGAAGATCAACCATATCCCAAGTATGAGTTTTATCAAAAGCCTGTAGTTCATCAGTCATAGCTTGCTGCCAAAGAGGGTTAGAACAAGCCTCTCAATAGGAAGTAGGTTTATGAGAGGAAAATGCAATAAAACCAATAATGAAATCATAAAGAAGGACAAAAGGTCATGTTACTCGAGTAGAATGACGAAGAGGTACCTCAGAAGCAGAACCAGGAGATGGAACAGGAGCCACATGATGGGCTTGAGACTAGGAGCAGGATTAGGGAGTGGAGCATCAGCAGGACTAGGAGATAGAGCAGGATCCTCAGGATGGGCCAGAGGCAGCAGGGTAGAAGTAGTGTCTGTATGAAGCTCATCAAACAATAGAGAGGGATCTGTGAAGAATGATGTAGTAGGAGGAGTGGACAGATAAAACTTAGATATAGAAGAAAACATCTTATCTTCCCAAAATACCACATGATGAGAGACACGAAGACGTTGAGAAATAGGATCCCAACAACAATAGTCTTTATGTTCAATCCCATACC